TGAGATCCAAAGCTCTTCCCACAAAAACATTTTCTACTTTCTTCCAAGGGCTAATTCATAGTCTATTATTATCAAACTTAAATGCTGAGTAATCAAGACCACAAGTGAAATGTCTATGAAAGTTAATACCAGTGCACTAAGGGATTTGTCAAACTTACTTCATGGAATTAACCTTAATAAAGAAGCGTGGTCATGCACCACATTCTCTCCTATGAATAACTGCATGGATGGCCTCCTTTCTAACTGGCAACCAAACAGAATTCCTGCCGCAACATCATCAGTTGCCTATACTCAAGAGTAATATGAGTAATGTATCTTAAGCTTCTTGTAAATGTGATTTAGCCACTGGAAGTCTGAAGTACTGGCACGGTGCAAGCTACTTATTTGCCATTCTACCATGTGAGTTCTTAAATTAAATTACTTGGTATGTCAAACCCAACTATGGAGAGTTATTTATGTTCACACAAAGCCGCAGGACTCATTTCAGTCTACCATGTAAGATACACCAGTACACATAGCAAAAGCTTCCTTAAAATAGGAAATAAATCATTTAAGCCACAATAATCAAGTATACTCTGCAATATCCATGCAAACAGTAAAACCACCAAAGTAACTGTTCTGTGACAACACTGCATGAAAGAAACACCTAATTTGATCGTTCACCGGTAAATATGATTTTCAACTGTATTTTGAGCTCCCAATTGCACATTTGCAGTACTCTAGCATATATTGGGTAGACAAGACTGGACTTACATAACAACCAACTCCCAGTAGAGTTTTTGTCACATACTGCAGGTTATCAAAGTATCTAGTCTTATATACCTAGAAGGCTGAAAATTTGAAGTTCATGAAACATTACTTATTTTAAGTAACAAAATTCATGTGCTGAATTTTCCACACACAGTTAACTCCAAGGCAGTCTTGAAATCAGACTTATTGGAAAATTAACAGAAGCAACTTTAAATTCTTACCTGAAATGGCTAGAAAGCCTGTTCAAGTCCAATATTACACTCAGCCTGCTATAAGAATAGCTGGGCAAACTTCAGTAAAGCTTAATTCTAACATTAGCAAAGTAATTACCATAGTATCTTTGCAACTCTGTCCTCAGGCTAGTAATTATCCCATCTTTAGACTGCTGCTCCAGGTAAAGTCTTCCACTAATTCCCCCTTGTAGCAGCTTAATAGATGTCCTGTGCCCTTGCTTTAATACGCTTAACCCTCTGAACTTGTTCATCTATACATTCAGGCTTTAGGGCTGACATCCTCATGAACCAAGAACTCCAAAGCCAAAGTTACAGCTACACAACCAGAGCATGTCTTACGATCAAGAAGGGAAAAAAGTTGTATCTTTAGTGCCTTAATTATAGCTAACGAACTTAATCCCTAGCCCCAATCCATAAAGGAAAAAAAAAAACCTTCACTAGGAAAAAACTAGTGTAGAGAGTCAGTTCTGTGAAAAATAAGGTATTACACGAACTTTGTGTCAAAGTACAGGATAGACGATATCAACGGGCATTTCCAGATGAAGTATCTGTATTTGTATGTGTCAGGTATTCTACTCACATGAATATTCACATGATTAAGCTGCCAAAGACTGAAGCCTTTTGAACAGAACTTAAGTTCTATTGAGCAGCTCACTGCACAGCCGCCAGGGCATTTCATCTAGTAGGTAAGGAACTTACTCCACTATAGGAACTTTTCAGCACATAAGTAATGTGACTAGAGAAAAGGTGGACCACAAGCCTGTAAAACACAAGTACTGTAACATTTTTGCAAAGGGACAATTGTCTTCAATGTAAGATTTCTATAGCAATCGGATAGCTGAGCTGCAATGAAGTGAAAAACCATAGCTCTTGTGGCAGCTTGACAGTGCCTAGAAAACATTTGCATTACAAATGAACAGGAAATACATAATTTACTTATCCCAGATACTTTGAGGATCACAACTAAGTATCTTAGTAACTAATCCTATTTGCAAACTCAGTAGCAAATCCAACCCAGGGAAAAAAAAATCCCCTCCCTTCCTGCTTTCCATCATTTCACCTGGTGAACATTTTTCCTTTTTTACTAAAAAGCAGGTGTTGCTACAGGTATACATAGACACAGACAGTCCTAACAAAGTTAATCCAAAATAAAAATAAATCCGAATATTATCAAAACCAAACTGCTACAGAATGTAATGAGTGTTTTTATCTAAAAGACAAACTATATTCTATCTTATTACCTGCATCCACTTTCCACTCATTTCAACATGCTAGGTTTCATGTATGTTTATTTAATTTTAATGCTTAACTGAATACCTTTAAATTATGATGAAACTCCCGAGTCAATCTTCTGAGTAAAAAATACCAACACTGTGCTGATTCAAGAGGTTGCAATAACTCTTCTGTTTCTGGTTTCTTTGTAGGAACCAGGCACCCACAAGATCAGGAAGTAACCATGGACTTTTTATTCCCCTCAGATTGAAAAACAGCTGAGTTACAGGTTATTGTACTTCCCAGAACTTTGTTTTACTGATCTTATTTAGAAGTTTCTCTTTAATGTTTAAAGCTTCACATGCATATATACTAATGGTGATTTGTATTCCCAGGTTTAAACTCTCCATAGTTACACCGTAATTTCTATATTGTTCACTAAGTATTCATGCAGTTGCTTAACTTTAAACTACTGCCTGCTGGTTTGAGGTTTTTTGCATATGCAAAATACACATTTACATCTTGTTTCAACAGCATCAATTCCCAATGTAAAAAAGAAAAAAAAAAAAAAAAAAAAACCCTAACAAAAAAACCTCCCCTTTAAAAACCAGCTTTTTCCTGGTTTCCTCTTATTAAATGCCTTTTCTATAAAGAAATGCTCAGCACTGCTTGTTCTTCTAGAATAAATATGAAGATTTTCATGATCACAGAAAACCAAACTGAAATGAAGGCTTTACATTTAAGATTCCAAAAGCTGTTTTGTTCTCCACTGTGCTTTTTCTGTTTCAAGAAAGTTCCCTCCAAAGCTATCTAATGACTACGTAAACTAGAGAGATTAAGTAATTTATTAAGCAGTTTTCAAAAAATTAAATTAAAAACATAGTTGTCATACTCATTTTTTTTTGTTCTCAAAAAATGTAAACCTCTCCAACACCTTTTTTATCACCCCACCCAAAGAATAATTTCATATAATAGATTCCTTAAAGAATCACATATGTAAATGTTAGCAAATCCTCTTTACCAAAGAACAATGACATTATTAGGTTACAGGTTATCATTTTTACATGTACATTTAAAAAAAAAAAAGCGCAGCAGTGGAAGATCAGTGAAATCTGTTTCCCCTGTAAAGATCATACAATATCAGACTCTTACCTGACACCTGTTTGGTAGCTTTGTTGTGGGTTTTTGATTAACTTAGCTACCATGGCAAAATCCAGAAGGCATGAGCTGAACACTCTGGGAAACTCAGTAACAATATAGCCTCATCCTACAACTTTTGGAGTTTGCTGGGGGGAGGAAAGACTGTTTGGAGAAGGAGGTTTGGGTTTTGATTGGTTGGGATTTTTTTGTGGTGGTGGGTTTTAAGTTTTGCCTTGCAGGCAAAACTTTGTCAGGCTGGAGATGAAGCCAGCAACATAAGTAAACAGAAAACTTCCCTATGGAATGATTAAGTGGAGAAGAAATTTCTTTAAAAAAAAAAAAAAATCTGCAAAGAGTGCAAGTTATCCAAGACTTGGAATCTTTTCCATCCTAAATTCGTCTGAGGTTAACTGTTGATCCAGTTAAACCAAATACCTAGCATACACCAGTTTTATACTGTTAACTCGTCCACACAACTCACAAAATAGATGACCTCAAGACAACTGATGGGATTGATACACGACAAGATAATTTTTTAGAGGAAAGAAAGGAAGAAATATGTAGTACAAAAATAAGATGAAGGAGGATGGGAACTAAGTGGTGATGCATTTAAGATATAAACAATCTGTCACTTGATAAAAAAGTTAATCCAGACAAGGTGAAAGGCCTTTTTGCTAATTATGAACAAGACATTAAGTGATAGAGTAACTATTAAAGATATAGTTGCGCTCTATGTTCTTGAATAGGATTATAAGAAGTGTTAAGTGTTGCACCAAAAGTAAAAGCAGTGGTCAGCAATGAGTAGGTTAAAGCATACACTTTTGTTTTCTGACAAAACTGAATCACTTTACATAGATCTAGTAACATTAAAACAATAGGTTTAAGTTAAACTATAAGGAGACAATTTATTCTCATATGTAAGCAGTCCTTTGTAATTTAAGGGTAAGGAAAACCTTGTGAGGTACTAAGATATGTATGAAAACAGAGGAGTGGTAATAGTTTCACCTCTGTCCCTCCATTCTTCATCTATATATTTCAATCAAGCTCAATTTGCAAAGATGCAAAACCACTTTAGTGGATCATAACAACTAGCTTTTCTTGAAGTTTTACTTACTATTTTTTTCTTTTGAGATTTTAAATCTTCCAGTGCATCATCTAAAAAGAAGGACATCATACATTAGTTTTCAAATATAAATAAGAGAATTTCAGCACACTCTAAACATTTCATCCTGAGCAATGAGGAAAAATTACACACTGATCACTACCAACTCTACAACACTAGTTAACATTGCATAAAATAACTGAAGTTTTTATGACATTAGAAAATATAATTAATTTTAAACGTTGAAAGTTATAAATTACAGCCCACATCACTTTACAGTTGCAACTTAAAACAGTTTTATGTACTGTTTCCTCATTAAGCAAACCGATTGTAGCCAGTGCCCTGCCTGGACACACATGAAATCTGGTACAACAACAGACCAAACATGCTTAATCTCATGAGTCAAGCTACAGAAAAAAAAGAAAACAAAAGAAAAAAGAAAAAAAAGCCTTGAGGTCTAACTATTAATATATTCAAGTACCAGATTTACTGGCTTCAGCACTTCATGTAAGCCTTTTAACACACACAAGTTACAAATGCCATGTCAATTCTGAGCTTCAACTCTCAATCTATTTCACCTTTCAATACTACAGCAAAACCCTTAGTTTTGTAAGAAAAGCTACCAGAATGTCATTTTACTACTAAATGTTAAGATGGACTGTTAAAACTAGAAAGCATAGCACTTAATCTCTCTAAAAGGACAGGAAAGAAGAAAGGTCAGATACACTTGGGATTTTCCTTTAAGCCAATGTTGCAGCCTGGCACTCATGGAAAGCTCACTGTAAATAAACCATTGCCTAATACAGAAGGTATCCTCTTGATAAACCTGCTTTCTACTACCTCCTTCACAGCAAAAAGAGTTTAACAAAAAACTTTACAACTTCTTCTCCTTTCCAGCTCTGCTGTACATCAGCAGTTCATTTCCTATCAGATATACCTATTTTTACCCATTTTTCAGTTTTTTTTTAAAAAAAGTAAACAAAAATATTCATAGAACTACAAGAAAGAAAAACAAAAGCCAGCAAACTAAATATTCACTTTTTTGTATCTTTATTTGTATTTAAGTATGCTATGCACACTTTTTGAAGGTAATTCAGGAACACTACTGTTACTTGAAATCAAGTAAACACATAATTACTTGAACTGTTCCAGAATGTAGAAACTCATTTTGATAGACTAAACCACTGTATTAAATGTCTAAAATACTAAAACTGGGCATATACATATTTGAAAGTTTATGCAATGAAAGGGTAACTACAACAATCCCGTATTAGTTATGATAAACAGAACATGGAACAAGACCATATTTAGCACTAGGCTGGACCACAGAGAATAGACAATTCCAGGAATTGTGCATCTTGAAATTAATAAGGCATCTTCCCTCCACCAAATTTTACATTTACATTAGAACACAGCCTCTAATGTAGCCCTACACCAGAAATGCACTGCAATGCAGTATGGTACCACGTAGCCAAACAAAGAGCACAATACCACAAGATGTTACCAGTTACTTAAGAAACAGAAGCCACTTTTGATACAGAAATGCCTAGAACATCTTTAAGCCTAGCCTCTCACATAGCAGTGCAATCAGTTTAAAGTGTGGGCTTTTGTTTCTCATCACTTTATATCCTGTGTTCAAAAAGAACCTCATGGAACACCTGCCCCTTCAGACATGGCCAAACGGTAATTACTGCAAAGTACTCTCAAGAAAGCAATATATCTCTAATTAAACCTACAGAGAAAAAAAAAAAATCATACTAAAGAAGTCAATACCTGCAAGATACCTCATTTATTTTCTCACACTTCAGGACAGATCAGCCTAAATCTTCCTCAACAATTGTTTGCCTGACCAGTCTTAAAAACTGAAATTCTGTAATCTCTCCACATCACCGTTCCTAGTGTGTCACTCGGAATTTTCCTTATTCAGAGCATGGTTCCCCCAAAACTAGTTATCCAGCATAGAGCTTTAGAGTATTAAATAATCATCTCCAGTGAATCAGTGTGTTGTGCTAACTTATCACAAAGTAAAAGGCTAGCTTTGAGCCACTCAGTTGCCAGTTTGCACTCTGAGCTACACTTTCTCTCACTTTACTGCTGTTACTCTTGCACTGCACATTTGATTTCTCTTTTCCAAATACAGGACTTGTGTCTTTGAGGTAAAACACTTCACTTCTACCTAATCTCTGGAACAATGGAGAAATTATTGTTCTGGCATGTTCTAACATCTACTAAAACTCTTTATACACTGGTTCGACAAAAGCATAAGACTTGCTTGTATGCTAAAAACAACAATAAAGGCATTTAAGCAAACTAGAATAAAAAACATTTTTTCTTATCCCGTCATGAAATGCAAATATACATTTGCCTTAGAAATGAATCACACAACACCACAGAAGATATGGACAACTTTATTTCTGCATAAAAATATATGCCCTATGCTTGCATGTCAAATGCAAACATTAAGTTTAAGAAAAATTCCAAAAGTGATGTTTAACTCGTAAGCTGTCACAAATTAAATACATCATGTTGTTCTGTAAGTCATAAAACATAGTGCAACATTGAGGTTTTCCTGTATTATTACTCACATCACTATGAAATACTGTTACAGGCTGGATTACTTTCAAAGAAAGTCTCAAATGAATTCTAACTACTGCAGACAAGTGCCACAGATGCAGTTTTCAAATTCTGTATTAGCATGAATCTGCATGTCCTTTAACTTTTTATACATATTCGAACATCTCCCTGCCCATGCAGGGGGGTTGGAACTAGATAATCTTTAAGGTCCCTTCCAATCCTAACCGTTCTGATTACTTTTTGGCTTTGTTACATAACTCTCAATTTTCCTTTGCTCTCAAAACAGCACAAAAACACCTGCTTATCCCTTCTCCATTCAGGCAAACATAAGCATGCTTTGGAGAACTTGGGAGAGAAAAGCTCTATTGACAAACAAACAGAAACAGATCTGCTATAAACCTTTCCTCTTATATATAAAGATAACAAAGACTACTGGAAATAATTGCAAGATGCAAGTGTTAAGGGAACTGCTACTGTTGCTTATACTTCCTTTCCCTCATTCCTACTTCTACACCACATTTGATTTCGTTATACTCTCAAACATGCAAAGACAGGAGAAAGATACACCACAATTTTGTAAGTGAAAAATTAAGCACTTTCCTTCCTGTTCTTTCAAGAACCATATGGCAGAAACAACAGTTTAGCTAATGCTACCCATTCCAGCATCAACAAAAAGGTTGCTACTCTTTTCCTGGAAGCCAAGGTATCCAAAATATTTACATTTTCATAGCAAGCATCATTCCAAACTAGTTCGTATTCTAAAAAAAGACAGAAAAATACTTACTATTCCTTTCTGTCCTTTTGGAAAAGAAAAAAATGAGCAGTGTTCTTATAAACCAGATTCTTTAAAACAGAAAGGAGAATTATATTAATTAAAATTTATTACAGTAACCATTTCTGAAGTCATTTAGCAAAGAGAATACTTACCAGATGAGATGTGATTTTGCAAATACAAAGAACAGAAATCTTTGAACAATATTTATACAGAAAGCTAAGAATTCAATTAGTATCTTGTTAACAGGACATCAATGTTGATTTAAACAAAATCATCCTGTCTATTAAAGTTTAACCAAGTATTACTATAGGCAGAAATACTAAGGTAGCAGGAGCAGCAAGTAACATCATCACTTGCTCAGACGTTCAGTGGGAACTTTTAAAAATCAAGGTGTGTGCAGCTAGTTGAAAATTACTTAGTCATCACTTCTTGGTAGATTTATGATGCATGTTATCCAGAAAGCCAAGCTTATCAGCTAAGGCCCAAAATTAAGACCCAGGAGATTTGCAGGAAGAATTTAATACCAATGAAAACCATGAGATACAGCTATTGTACAAATGGTCTCCCAGAGTTAACTGACCTGACTCCTGGCGATTTTAGAGAGCTCTGAATCCACTCAGTTTCTGCAGGGTTTCAGCTGACTTAGCTCAAACAATGGAGCAGTTTATCTATGCCCAAGATAAAGTTAAACTGATCTATGACCATTTTACATTTGAAAGGTCTCTGTGCAATCATCTGGACTTCATTTGTTTTAAAGCTTAGAATTGCTTATAATTATTAAGTTGACACTTTCTGTGGCAAGTTATTCAGCCTAAGCCAAGTGGCAAATCTCATACTTCAAGCCCCTCCAAGCATCTCAATCAAAACCCTCCTAGTGGCAAGCACTATACAATAAAGCTTAAACTAGCAATGATTCATTCAGGGGAGGAAAAAAAAAAAAAAAAAAAAAGAAAAATCTCAAAGGCTGAAAAGGTTTTCTGAATAACAGCAACTGTAAGAAAACAAAATGCTAGAACTATAAGATTTCAAATAATTTCTACTTAATTTATAGGAACATCTTTTGTATTTATATAATGACTGCCCAGTTTAAAATATTTTCAAGTATTAACAACACAACCTGAGTTAGGGAAGCTAGACAAGACATCTGGAATGCAAGAGTAACCTACCAAACATAAGAGAAACATAGGAAAGTTTAACTATTCCATGTTTAAAGGTGTGCTGTGGATGGCTCTGCCCACTTATACAATGTAATATGTGTCTCTCCGTAATGTATCAGGATTTTAGTTGTCTTAAAGACTATGTTTCACAGACAAAAGCATTATTTCTTTTTTACTGTACGCTTAATAAAGACTCTTCTACTTAAAGGTGTATTCTGAGCTAACAGATACATGTTAGGACTTCATGAAATTAAAAAACATTCACCTCAAAGTTCTTAAAGAGGTAAAGTTCAATATTTCAGATCAATTTTACAACATAAAAACGTATTTTTCTGAAAATCAGACATGCAAGATGAAACAAACGAATTCAAATGAAAGTAAAAGCATCCTTCTAACATGCTAACACATTTCTTCAACTTTTCAGATATTTCAATACACATTTAGAAGTAATAATGTTATATATTCCTAGAACTTAACTCACTCTACTAGCATCAGTAACTTGCTGAGACCCTGAGGGAATGACCTAAGGCAGAAATAAGTTGGTGACTGACTGCAAGCTGGAAAAGGCAGACATATTCCAGCTTGATTAGGGCTGAAAAATCTCTAGAGCTATTACTGGGTGGCACCAGGCATTCAGCATGGAGTCACCTCTTGACCGAGAACAAAGACAAGCTGGCAGTTGCTTGCCATTCATATCTGCCAAAAAAAGCTAAAGGAGAATAGCTTAAGGGAAAAACCTGATAAACAGCTGCAAGTCATAAGAGAACAACAGTTTAATTCTAAATGTTAGTAAGATGATATCCAATTCAGAGTTTTACAGAAACCCACCCTAAAAAAAAAAAGAAAAAAAAAAAAAAAAAAGAAGAAACAAGAATTGGAGGACAAACTAGAGAATAAAAGTCCATTGTGAAAATTCACTTCACAGCACTAAAAGCCATCACCTGCAGCAACAGAAGTTTTAACTTCTACACAAATCATAACATACCTAAGCAAAAGGAGGCTGGTAATACTCCCTCTTCTACAAGCCCTCCCTGTTAGCACAAGCAAGCATTGCATGCTAACAACAAAGAGCTCCAAATCCTTGTCCTTAAGTACGAAGTCATTTCATATTGCTGCCAAAGATTAATTTGAGTGTTAATTTCTATATCAATCCTTTCTAGTCAAGATACTGCTGCCCATGTATCTTTTCCACAGGATTCCATAACAGCAGCATACATTAGGCGGCATACAATACGATGTACAAAAAACATCTTCAAGGTGGTTTTCTGCATGTTCTGTTATGCTGACCCACACTAATCAAATTTGCAAAGCCTTAAATACTTAGATTCGACTTTGCTTTTCAAATCTAAAGCTAAGGCACTGACAAGTCATGTCTTCATACACTGATGCTGTACAAATGCGGACAGTATTTATGATGCTCATTTCAGCAAATCAGTAAATGCGCTGTGCTTCCTATTGGCATGAAAGCTGCTAGGTAGGTTGCTGCTTCTCCTTCTTAATGGTCGTGGGGAAGGGGAGGCAGGGAAGCAGCTGTTTAGTGAGGTGGGAGCCCATTTTTAGAAAAGCAGTTTTCTTAGAAAACAAAAGCCACTCATGAGGACGAGAAGCCAATCAGCTCAGTGGAACAAGAAAATAGACAATACTTTCTCCTGTTTGCATCAGATGATGTTAGGATATTTTCCACTTGAATAAAAAATTATTCTCCAGGAAAATAGCTAATTATGTAAAAGTAGTCCTCAACATACTTAGGCAAATGACCTTTCAGGTCACTTCTGTGCTAACAGTCACCTAATGTGTAAAAGGAAGTTCTTCCATTCATTATTAGTTGGGAGGCTTTTTTCCCCATTTTATACAGCACATTTTACATACAGGTGACATACCTTCAGTCACTTTCATACAGCAGCCTTACTTCTCCAAATAGCAGTACAAATAAACCCCAAAATAATGCTTTTCTGCTTACATTACATTACCTTGCACATGTTCAAATACAGGTCGGCCTCTAGCCCTAATATAATTTTGATAAGGCAAGTAACTTTGGATGCTAACATCTTTTAATGGTAAGACTTAGTTCTACATGAAACCCAGACCCATGAGAGAGATTTCCCTCAAAGAAAGTATCTGCCTAACTATCTGGATTTATTTTTAAAGAAAAAAATTCAGCAAGTTATTACAACTCAAGGATTGTCAAAAGGAAACCCAAACCCCTGCTGAGATGCATTTTCCATCTCCTTTTACCAGATACAGCACGGGGGGCGGGGGGAGGGGGAAGAAGCATAAGAGGCGTATTTACTTACATCAATGGAAATGCAAAAAATGGAAGTGTCATAATCAACCTTGCTGTCCATTCATCAGGAAGACACCACAAATATACAATTAAGCAGGTAATAAGGTAAAGAAGTGAAGAGTAGAGAAGCAGCCTTCCAACCCATAGTTTCTGTAGCCTCTGATTTTTTTCTCTAAATTCTTCTAATGTCTGTATTTCCTGTAAACAAACAGGGTTCAACCTTATCAGTGAAATCAGTAGGTGGTTTTACTAAGCTGCCTTTAAGTGTTTGCTAAAATTAGCCATATCAGTTTGATACTTTATTAGAAAAGTCAAATTTTTTGATACAATATTTGCCCAAAGATAACTTTCACAACATAAATACATCACACTATTAACGTTATAATATGGGCCACTTGCACTGTATTAGCAGTAACATATCACTATTGGAAAGAAATGTTGCAAATCAGCACTTTTTCCTATTTATAATGCTTTAGTATATTTAGGACAAATGGAAAATACTCATATGTTATGAATGGCAGTCTTTACAATCACTAGATCACTACCAATCATAATTCACATCCTAAAACTTTCATCAGGCACCTGTGGAATTTCAAATGCTTCTAATACTTTTCTACTAACATGGGAAATGGCTGAAATCCCTCCATCATTTCACGTATTTTAATTTCATTATTTTCCTCACATGAAGAGTGAAATCCTGACATATGATGCTTTTGGCATATTAGTAAGTGATAAGATATGCTCTGCTATGTTATCATTTCAACCGCATTTCAAGTGACAACAGGAGTACTCACAATAAAAAGGAAAGTGTTTTCAAGTAAAGGAAAACAAAAAATATGAAAAGCATATTTCAAAACTGTTAATTTCCCCACAGAATACAGACATCTGTCAAATGCTGGCTAAAAATCACAATTGATTACTGAACCATCTATTCAGTTATTCTGCCCCTGACCTTACTACCACTATAGTTACAACTCTTAAAACATACACTGAAGCTTTTTTAATGAGTTTGATGAATGGAACTTTGTGTTAGTGACATTTTCCATTACATGGGATTTTAACCATTAGTTATAATTATATTGTGTAATCCAGTCAACTTCACATCCATTCCCATTTCAGGCTCTCTAAATAAATTTTTAAACTGTAGTGTCTCACTATCCATTATACAGCATTTCTTTTGGTTGGTTTTATTCAGTTGGTTGGGAGGGTTTTTTTTGGCAGGGGGAGAAGGTGTTAATGACTAGTGGGGGGAAAAAAGCTAATAGTCCGTCTGAAACTCAATCTCTAGTACATCCAACTGGAATAATTAGCAAAGTAATTTAAAAATCCACTACAGTATTTCACCTAATGTGAACGAAATACATGGCCAGCAAAAAGATGCATATTTCTAAACAAAAATCAAACACAAATACATACCTTATCAATTTTTTCTAATACTTCTACAGTGGAAGGCTTTGCCTGCTTACAAGGGAAAGAAGAAAGATGTTGATCTCACATTTTAAAAGGTCAGTATTTTGAGGATTACCATATATTGACAGTTTCCTAACAAAAAGACATAGTCATAATAGATTAATAATATTACCTAATTTACATAAAGGTAAGTTTTCCTATTTTTATAATGACAAATAGAAGGGACCGTAATGAATCACTATTTTACAGCTGGTATTACTATTAACTGAAGGCTCTGCTCCTACACCACAAAGAGATGAAAACCTGTAATGCATGTACAACAATAATGGATGTGTGTGGGAAGTAAAACAAGTACAGAACTGATGAGTGGAGGGAATAGGCAAAACAAAGAGAGTGTATACATGAAGCCTTAACTTGAGAACTTAGGCTTTTTATTACTGTTCATTCCACACACAGCTACATGCTTCAAATAAATTATAAGCAAATGCAAACAAGTGTTATTATCTCCACTAAAATTCCCCTTAGAAACAACTTGAAATCTACCTTGTAGCATCCTTTCCTCATTTCTAAGATAAATCCACTATCTTTCCCCCACCCTTCAAACCACAAATTCAGAAACCATAGCCCATACTGTACCACGATGAAAGTGAGCTTCTTTCTATTACACAGAACCGACATTTCATCTAAACTTCTGCCTGTAAAGGAGTTTTGTATGGGAAGCTCTGAAATCAATTGCTAACACGTAAAGGGAAACCTAGACTCAACTCACACCTGCAAAGAGAATAGTAAAACACCTCATGCTTCTTCCTCATATACAAGCTAATAAAAGCAGTAAGGAAGAAAAACTTGCATAAATAGCCACCAAAATATTTGTCAGAACACATTTTGACCTAAAATAGCCACCAATCTTTCAAGTCACACATGCTGCTGTATATCTATCCCAGTGAAGCACCACAAAGCTATTCAGATATACAGGAAGAGTTAAAACTGTATTTTTGTAAGTTAACCAAACTAGTGCCAGGTCTGGCACAAAGGAAATAAAGGAGAGCCACACAGTTTCACAGTTTGGGGATCTGCCAGAGAATATTTTTGACCATTATGTCTCACTACTGGACTTTTAAACGAGATATTAAAGGGAAAAGTCTAGCACTAACAGTCAACCAGCATTAACAGTCAACCAACAGACATGAAGAAACATATCCTGCATATTCCCATCTTCTAGATTAAAGAGTATTATATTGCTACACAGTTTTACTTACCCTCCATCTTGAAATTAATCCACCCATCTTCTACTGTTGACAAATGTTGGCAGAGCTATCAATCTTCTACAAGAATTCACAGCTAGAAGTGAAGCATTAAGCACTTAGGAGTAATCTAACAGCATAGTCCAAGATTCTTATATTTATTCCAATATATAAAGGAATCAAAATATCTCAAAGCCATTGCCTAGTTATCTACCCACACATTATTTAAAAATCCAGTCTTCTGTTTCACAGGCCATCCTGTAAGTCAGCTGATCAGCCCTGATGTGGCTATACTTATTTTTACTTTGGAAATATTTAATCAAAGGGGAGTCCCCAAAAATAGAGGCACAAAACAACTACCAGAAAAAGCTACCAAAATCCTCCAGTAGAAAAAAAACTTAAAAAATTATTAAACAAGATTAAGAAACTGATTTCTGATTATTTCTTCTGCTGCTCATAAGCATATCTCAATGTTCCTTTTCATCTGTCACTCCAGGCATGCAGCATTAATATTCCACTATTCATGAGAACAGTTCCTCTCCCATAAATCTACTTCCTTCTCATGCTCTCAACCATAAAAGCATATTGGATAGCACTATTGTTTTTCCTTTCTACAATCAGTTTTAAGTTCAAATAATCAGTTTCAAAGAGATTTCACCTGCTCTAGGAAAGCACTACACTGGCAGGTCTTCCCTATACAAAATGCACAGAGCAGTCACGAGCACAACAGCTCTAAAGGAATTCCAAAGGCACAAAAGTAGTTCACCTTACCCTACACAAACCTGGAACCCATGAACAGCAATAATTTGATGATCTGGGTCTAGGTTCCTGAAACGAAAGCGTAACAACTTTCCATCAGCAAATAGCTGGAATCAACTGACAGCTTGGAATGAACTTCTGAACCTTAGGATGACAGAATTTGCCTCCAGTCATTTAATTTACAAATTTTTACTCAGTGAATGAAAATATTACTATTAATAGCCACCTGCAAAGTAAACTAATGCTCAGTCCCAATTAGGGCTCAAACCTTTTTAACTCTGGAATGAAACAGACAGACTTAATAAAACACTGGTCTAGTTAGGCAGAAATTTAAGTGATTATTATCTTGTTTATTAAGTTACCTCTGGCAAAAAAAATGACGTATAAAGAAACCTAATCTCAATTCAAATTTGTTTCCAAATTGTCTGTGGCTGTCAGAACAAAGTAAGATAATAAAGGATACACATTGCTCACTAGCACAAATGCTATTGTAGTATAGCAACCTTTTCACCTTCTAAGAAAGCCAAGGACTTCAGAATCCAGAGCTAAAGGCCCTATGATTTCAAAACCAATCCTTAAAGATAAGGAAATCCACACCTGAAATTATGCCAGATGAAGCTAGAATAGATAAGACAAATTAGCTCTGCTGCCACCAAACTACTAGCACAAAGGGGTGAGCTACAGAAAATGCACAGTTCCTCCTTGGACTCTTGAGTAAATTCTCAAACGAATCACTACTACAGCAACTCAACTTAGTAAAACAGCAGTACTATTTTTATTCTTCAAACACACAACATAACACTGAGAATTTCATATAAGTGTCACTCTGTAGTTACAGGCAAGTTTTTGCATTACAGGTACTGGCAGCGGATCTATGCAGACACTTTCTTAGCAAGTATTTCTACAGAAACATCTATGCAGACACTTTCTTCAAAAATATTGCTACAGAAATAGATACCATGTATCTTTATTGCAAAACAATATGAAAACTATGTCAAACAGCCAATCAAGAAGTTTGTAAACTTAGTACAAGGTTCCCAAATCTAGTCTGTTTCCATAGCTGTTGGGAGCAACAGCAGCTCTGTTGCAGACAGAGATGCTCACAGGGCCTGCGTGCCATTTTCCTTCAGGCCATAGTTAAGAGAACCACTGCAGCAAAAGTGTTGGAGGATCTTTTGGGCACACGTTATCCATGAGCCATTGGTGACACCAACCTTTGTCAGTAACACATTCACAGTGCTATTACTACATTTGTTTAAAATGACTGGCAAGTACCTGGAAGAGAAACAGGTTTGACAAGTGCCACCATACACATAATTTTGCATGAATCATGATGCTGACAGGCTTTATTTTATGTATGCTGCTCTGCAGGTCAGTAATACCACCAAAACCCTTCCCCAAAGAGATATTAAAGGATCAGGGCCACAAGATTCACATCCACAGTTTAGTCACTTAATCCTTAGTAATGAGATGGAAAACTTTCTGTGGAGCGCCTCAGATGTTTTACTTGCCTCCATCCTGTCTCCCCTTTTTGACATGACAAACACAAATTTTCAACTGCTTCAAATTCTCCTAGTTCCTCCTCACCTGCCGCTCCACATATCTACCACTAATATCCTACTGTTCACGGTAAGAGTCCTCCTTCCAAAAGCCTCTTCCTTTCCTTCCCATGCTTTAAGCATCACACTATTGCACAGCACTTTTTCTTTCCAAAGGCTGCATTACTTTAGCACAGAGCTGTCCTTTCCACTCGCTTAGCACTGCTGCACAAACATTATCACTGCTTTAATACACAAATAAGCTGCAATATTTCCTAGCCCTAGGCTTAAAGTAGTCAACAGAAGTGTTAAAAAACACAATGTAGAAGCTTTAGAAAACATTATTACCAGTTTATTTCACTCTCAACGTAAAATTCTGATAGCATCTCCTCTATCCCAAAAACATGCAAGTTAATTAGCAAAAGGGAAAGCAGAAGTGCCACAGTAAGTGTAGCAGAGGCAAAAAGGCTTCTTTTGAAAGATAGATGAATCATGCACAATTACAGAAGTCATCCACCAACCTATTCATCCAGATGGAGAAAATAGTTTGATCATCTCATTACAGTTTTATCAAGTCAGTTTCAAATATCTTCAAGCTTGTTGCTAATGTTTTAAAATTAAAAGGTCTCCAAAAAAAAGGAAAAAAACCTCAATGCCTCTAAAATTAGTTTTAGTAACTGACATGCTGAAATTCAAAACTAAATAACATCAAGACAAGTCATATTAAAAGAAAAAAGGAAGTTAGAGACCGGAAATGGAGGCTTTGCATAGACCTTTCTCCTGAAGGAGGAGGGAATGCTCTTTAAATGATTTTTTATAAACTTTTTTTGTTAGCTTTATGTAAATATTTTCAGATATTTACCATTACAAAGAACATAAGTTCTGCCTTTCAGACTGAATCCCCAGCTCTGCTCACAAGGTTTCCACTCAAAAATCATACTCTCCCACAATTTACTGACCCCAGAAACTTCCACAGTGACCATAAAAAGTTCATAAAAGGACAAGTAAACAAGCAAAACAAAACCAGGAGCATCACCCACCACCTAGCCTGTCCTAGAACCTCTCAGTTAAAACAACATACTGAATGCTCTTCAATCCGTTTCCAGCCGTTTCTGTTTGAAGGCATCCTACGGAGGCCCTATGCTTTGCAAGCCTTAGGAAGAAAGGCAACCAGGTTCCTACACAAAGACTCCGACGCGGCGGAGCACGGAGTGGGTGGGTCAGGCGCTTTTTTTGAAGCCAGCGAAGGCGAAGGCCAGGGGCCCAAGGAGCGCGTCCGAGTGCCCGCGGGCGGGCAGGACGGCGGCAGAGGCCAGCTTCGG